AATACTTGGCAAAGACACTTCATGAAGCAAGGTGTTCTTTACCTCAGAGTACATGGTGAAAAAGTCAGGGCAGCAAAAGCTTGAAGGGGCTGCTCACACCATATCCAATCAGGAAGCAGAGAGCAGTGGAGGCTGATATTCAGCCTATGGTCTCCTTCCATGCAGCCCAGGATTCCCAGCCTAGAAATGGTACCACCCCACAGCGGATGGGTCTCTCCCCACTTCAATAGCATAATTAAGACACACCCCAGACATACTCAGAGACCTGTCTTTCGGGTGATTCCAGCTCTCTTTAACTTGCAAGTTTATGATGGAGACTAAGCATCACTTTGACTCAGTCTGATTTTCTAACCTGAGCATAAGACTTTTCTTTTTCTTTTGGGTTTTAAAAATGGCAGTTGTTTTATTTTTTCATTTCTATTTATTTATTTATTTATTTATTTAAGATTTCTGTCTCTTCCCCACCGCCGCCTCTCCTTTCCCTCCCCCTCCCCCAATCAAGTCCCAGTCCCTCGTCAGCCCAAAGAGCAATCAGGGTTCCCTGCCCTGTGGGAAGTCCAAGGACCACCCACCTCCATCCAGGTCTAGTAAGGTGAGCATCCAAACTGCCTAGGCTCCCATAAAACCAATAGGTGCAGTAGGATCAAAACACCATTGCCATTGTTCTTGAGGTCTCAGTAGTCCTCCTTGTCTGCTATGTTCAGCGAGACCGGTTTTAAGAACAAGCAGCTAACAACAAAACCTCCTTTCCTTCCCCTGTATTTCAAAACCAAACTCAAACTCTGGTTTTGTTCAAACTTTTGCTTGTAAAGTGTTGTATCAGCTCCCCCTGGGCGCTTGGGCACGTGGGGAAATGAGACATAAGGACAAAGCCCACAGCAGCACTCGCTTTCCATGTCAGCGGGGTCTGGAGTCTGCTGATAGCATTTGATGCATCCTGTGTTCTGTGATTACCTGTATGCTTTCCTCCAAGAAACAGAGAGGACAGGGCACTGTGCATTGGTCCAGTGACAGGACTTAACTCAGCATTCCAGATAAAACAGAAGTTTAGGCACTGAGACCCTTCCCTGGATCTAAAGCTTTCTTTCATTTTGATTTGTGTGTGTGTAACCTCTTAAGTTTTGGCAGATTGGTTGTTAGACTAGAACTTCAGAAAACGTTGGTGACTATGCATAGCCCAAGTGAGACGAGTGCCTTGGCCCTCCATCCTGGGATGTCCCTTACACTGTAGTGGGGTCCTTACTCTCCACTTCGTCACTGCTGTCATTTTACAGAGACGGGAAATGCTTCTTCCTCAGCACCATCCATCCTCTGTGTTGTGTGAGAAAACTTCTGTGAGTCTGTGCTTGTCTGATTGGTTACCTCCTGCGTGCCAGGCATTCTGCCTCATCTGCCACAGGCTGACGTACATCTCATCTAAAGTCTTGAAAGTGTGAGAAGAATTTTTAGAGCAGTGTATGAACCCCTCCCTTCATACCCATGAAATCTTTACCTCAGCCTTTATCTTTCCTTTTTTCTTCTTTCTTTGTTTTTTTCTGTGAGAATAGTTTCCTTTTTCGTAGCTGTATCATTTGCCTAATCAGAACAAGCAGAAACAGCTTTTTATATTCTCAGGCTCTTATTTAGTCTAAATTTTAGCTAATTATTAGTCTTCCTTCTTTTTCAAGGTAAGTGTTCAGAATACTACATAGCTCCCTCTCGAACAATGCTTGTATATCTCTGGGTAATGGATCCTTATGCTGCGGTCTCCCCGTTTACATCACACTGCCCCCTCCCTCCCATCCTGGGCTTCTCAGCATCTGATTGTCAGTAGTGAGTTCTTTCTGTCTTTCTTCTTTTTACCTCTTCAGTTTTGCTGATCCAATTAAACTTGTAATAGTCCTCAAATTGCTCTTAACCTTAGGTCTTTGTATCTCATGGGGACGGTGTTTTTATGACAGTCAGTGGTTTGAATTGACTGATTGGCGGGTCTAGCAACGGGTCTTTGTTAAAATCAAGTGCCGCCTCCTGTCCTGTCCGTTCTGTAGAGGCTTGAGGAACAGGACCGGTAGTGTCTGACAAAGAACCTCAGTCAGCCCGCTTTCCCTCACCTTGCTTGTCTTCTCTCCACCCCAGCAACACTGGGACAGTCTGGAGACTCCCAAGTCCAAGGCATGGGGGGCCGGACCAGCCGGCTTTGCCCCGCCCATTATCCTCATTCCCCACTCCATGTGTTTTGCATATGGCGTTTGGGAAGATTATTAAACAAAAATGAAATAGATTAAGAAATGAACATAAAAGAATCAATTCTCTTGAACTGCGGTTGCATAATGGAAATCGACTGCCGTGAATGAACCCGTGCACTGAAGTTATGAACAGCAGAGTTAATGCGCTGCCATGAGTTCATCTTTATTATTACATTACACCTGAATCAATTGATAAAGTAGCTTTTTTTTCGTAAGCGAGGGATGGCACTTAATTGAATAAAAGTCAATGTAATTATATTAACAGAGGCCAACAGTACTGCTGACAGCGGAAAAGGGACACTGTTGAGTGGAGTGCCAGAGCTGGTCTCCACATTTCTGCACATCGTTTGGTTGACAGATATTGAGGGCTGGTACATCGTCTAATTAGATTACAGCCTTCTCCTGCTGTACGGTGAGACATGGAGAGCAGATCCCTTCCTGGTAACATCAGTGGAGACGTGTAAATTCACAAGTCATCCTACAGGAGAGGTGTCCATCAGGGTGATCCGGATGCCCTCTTGTCAGTGTTAATTTATTCTTCCTCGTTCAGTCTGTCTTGATGCAACCTTTGTGTGTCTGGCTGCTGTCTTCTCAGCAGCGAACCTAGCAAGTGGTAACTGCATATGTGTGAGAAACAACGCAGAGTTCTAGATTGCAGTCAAATGTGTGTTTATGAAACGGAGAAAGGGGGTGGGGTGTTAAAAATAATGAATGAGGGTTGGGTTTTATGAACTGCTTACAGCTGGCAGCTTGTTTTCTCAGTAGAGTAGTGGTACACAGTTTAACTATTTCCACGTTCCTTCTTGTTCTAACCCTGTGTCTCCCCGCATGTCATGGGAAAGACTTCACAGTAGGCATTTTCTGCACTCCGCTTAGCAACACCCACAGTCATCCGACACCTGACACCAGGGAAAAGGGAATGTCAGAACAGGCCAGTGGGGACAACTTCTGTTTATCCACAGTCATGTACCCACACACTGCATGCATCTGTTTGGAACTCATTTATAGTTGATGCTGATGCTGTGAATTTGGTGTATTTGATTTGATTGATGGTTTTTGGATTATGCAGGTGATCTGAAAATCAAGACAACATATGAAATGATCACTTATGACAGAAAATAATTTTGTGATCACAACATTTTAAATCCCTATTTTATTGTTTAAGTTTTCAAAAGCCGGATGTCTAGAATGTGAATTTGTTTTCTCTCTCTCTTTCTCCCTCTTTCTCTTTCTCTCTCTCTCTCTCTGTCTCTCATTCTTGCTTTCTTTTGTGATCGATTTAGCAAAAGATTAGAAAGCTGATCTTATTGTCACAAGGTAAGCTCAGCCTTCCCAAGTGCAGTGTGGAGAGGGCTGCCACCCTCCGCCCCTCAACCCAGAGTGCTGATTGTCTCGTGTGGAAAGGTGGGAAGCCTCTCCCTCCTTTCTTGCCCTGGAGGCACATACCTCTCACACTTCTCTAGGACGTGTTAGCCTCCCTTGTTCCCAATTGGAGAGACTTCTGATTATAACTAGGAGGACTCTGTGAACTTGATGCAGACCATTTCGGTCATTTCTATCACCACAGTTAACGTCTCTAAGATGTCCAGCCTCCAGTGCTGGCAAGTTTTATCTCCCTGTTTCTTTATCACCTTATTTTTGTGGAGGGTAGCTTTCAATTTAGGTACTTGGCAAACATCTGAGCCTTTGCAGGTGGAGAGAGGTATATGCCCAAGGGCGCTTTCAAAGTCAATGGGGGGTGTAAATACAAAAGGCAATGTTTTCGGATAAACAGTGACTTGGGCTTTGTAAGTCCTGAGGTCCCTGTAGATGCTCTGGGAATGAATCTCTCCCTTTTTAGCACAAGCAAAACTCTGTGATGTTTTGCTTGTCAAAGTTAGGGGTTCTGTTTATGAACTAAAGGGACTCTGCCATTGTGCTTCTTTTTTTTTTAAACTTACTGTGCTTTAATTTTTATCCTTTTGGATTTTTTTGTTGGGGGGAGGCAAGGGTTGTATATTTAGAAAATAATTTATCAGATTATATTTTAAAGAATTAAACCTTAAAGTAGCATTATTTGATGAAGACAGTTCATTGCTAAAAATGTAGTATCTTTTGAAAAACTAAATGTATTTTGCTTTTAGATTTGGGTGGGATTTCAGACAGATTTGAGAAAAGATTCATGTCATAAAGAAAAAAAATCTTTGGTTACTGTTTTCCTGAGACTTCTTTTTAAACCTAACACATGAAATACAGGAGAGTGGGGAAGATGATTTTTTTAAGTTAAACCTAAATTATGTAGACCATTTACTTTTTAAAAATGCAGGCCCTTTTCACAGTATTTGCTGTATTAGAAAAAGCTTGTTTGATGTTATTTTCTGATTTTAAGTAAATTTAGACTATTCCATTTAGACAAGCAGAGGCTTTATTCTTTTACCTTGTTTCGTGTTTATTATCCAAGACGCACTTTATGTTTAAGACATCTGCAACGAGGTCCTCTGTGGCTGATGCCCTAGCGGAACAGCCATTGAGAAAAGAGGGCCTAGTGTGCTTTCACCCTGGCCCTTGAAGAGTTGATTCATAAAAATGACATCAATGGAAAGTTCCCCTTTCTGCACCTCCCACCTGCACTCAATCCCGAGGATGTGGGGAATGCTTGCTTTTATAATGGTGTAATTAGGAATGAATGTGCTTATTTGGTGCTGACTGAAAGTTGAATCAATTTTAAAATGCTCTCCTTTTTCTCACCCTTCCCCGCTCCCTGTGCGCCTCCCCCCTTCCCTCTTGTTTTCCTAGACACAGTGCCAACATAAACCTGCATCGTAAACTGTTGACCAAAGAACTCGATGACATGGGCCTGGACTCATCGCAGCCCTCCCTCAGCAAGGACCTCCGGGATGAATTTTTAATGAAGATCTATGGTGCCCAGCACCCTCTGGGGCTCGATGTCAGGGAAGATGTCTCCTCTCCCGCAGGGACAGAAGACTCCCACCTAAATGGGTATGGGAGAGGCATGGCGGAGGACTACATGGTCCTTGACCTGAGCACCACCTCCAGCCTCCAGTCCAGCAGCAGTATCCACTCCTCCAGAGAATCAGATGCAGGCAGCGACGAGGGGATTCTTCTCGATGACATTGATGGGGCCAGTGACAGTGGGGAATCTGCACACAAGGCTGAGGCTCCCACCCTCCCTGGCAGCCTAGGGGCTGAAGTTTCAGGATCTCTTATGTTCAGCAGCTTTTCTGGGAGCAATGGTGGGATCATGTGCAACATTTGCCACAAAATGTACAGCAACAAGGGGACCCTGAGGGTCCACTACAAAACTGTGCATCTGCGAGAGATGCATAAGTGCAAAGTCCCGGGCTGTAACATGATGTTTTCCTCTGTGCGAAGCCGGAACCGGCACAGTCAGAACCCTAATCTCCACAAAAACATTCCCTTCACTTCAATAGATTAGTCCCAGAACGTACACTACAAATGCCAGCTCTCACCAGATGGCCTACATGTTTGAACTGCCATAGCCAGTGTGCTTCCATGGTGGGGCACATGCGTGTGTGCACATGTGTGTAGCTCTGTGTCTTCACTTGTGCACCCACCTATTTCTTTTCTTTAGATAAAAATGATAAACACTAGGTGCTTTTGAATTTTTTTTCTTTTCCTTTATAGTTTTGGGAGAGGGTGGATCTTTTACTTGGGGTAAAAACGAAAGTACCCCTTTCAACACACACACACACACAGGAACACACATATGTGTTCAGCTAGCCCCAATTTTGATAGAATAATTCTTGGTCTTCTCCAAAGAGACATTTTGTTGTACCTATGACTGTTGCCTGCAAAAAATAAAAGGGAAAAAAAGAGAAAAGAAACAAAAAGGAACTTCTTATAGTTGTCTTTTGTGAACTTGAAGGTTTTGAGAGAATCTTTAATTAAAGCATGGCAGATTCGCCTGTAAATATTTAGCCTTGAGAGGCCAATGATGTAAACCAGTTGTATTGATTGTTGTTTAAGTCTTCTTTAATTTTGACAGTTACATCCAGCTGTTAGATATGCAGGAAATAAATAGTTTGTTGGCTAGTTCTATTCATTTTTGTTAGCATTAATGCACATTTCCTTTATATAAACAAAAAAAAAAAAACAAAAAAAAAGCAACCAAAAAAAAAAAAAAACCCATGGTCTTGTTTTTACTACCTGTTAGATATAGTGACTAAGACGTGCTGGCATGCTTCACAGCGCAGACCTGAGTTTTTAAAATGTCCCGTACTAGTACATGAGTCCAGCCATGCACTTTTTTTCATACACTACAGGGGGATGTGTAATATCCATGCTTCTTCTTCTCCTTAAACTCTCGCCATACTTCAGTGAGTATCTTTCCTTTAAAAACAACCCACTTGTATAAAAATGTTCTGGTCAGTAAAGGGCACAGATGCCAAACAAAAAGTATTAGTGTTAACACAAAACTGCCAACTTTGCACAAGTTTTCAGAAAAGAAAATATAATTAGTCACTCAACATAACCACAGGCCAACTTTTTGGCCACAGAAAACCGCCTTAAAAAAAAAAAAAGCGGCGGTTCTTCTGAGTGCAGAGTGTTATTAGAATCAGCTTTGTGTCCTTCCTCCATGCATGTTAAGTGACAGTAATGTGGTGTGACACAGCCGAGTCACTCCTGTAGAGGCAGGATGCCATTTCAGGACGCAGTGGCCTGAACTACTCACGAAAGGAGCAGAGCTGAAGACAGTAAGCATTTGAACACCTATTTCCAAGGCCCTAACCCTTATCCTTTGAAAAAGAGGAGAAAGCCTGAGCTGGGTCAGTCTGTTGTATGTCTCATTTGTCGCAAATTCTGCAGCAGCAAGGCAAGTCAGGCCTGCCTAACACACAAAAGTGCAAAGCCCTCCACAGCGGCTGTTCTTGGGAGCTCTGAAAACTCACGTGCTGAACTTGAATGGAGCAGCACTCCTCTTGGAGCGAGCGAGCGAGCGGCAGAAGGAGAGGGGAAGACAGGATCTCACTGTGTAGTGTTTTGTGTTTCCCCACACGAATTTGTCAGAGAGAAATGAAAGCAAGCCTGCAACCAAGCCATTGAGAGTGAGAACAAGCGCGGGGAGGGGGGAGGAGACTGCTCCAAACCTTTTTGTTTTGTTTTGTTTCTGATGTTTACACATGTTGCCTGAGCTGGTTAACCACATCGGCAGCCCCGGCTACCACAGCATACTGACTAAATGATGGTATTTACTCAACTTCGTCTGCAGCCAGAACTGCTGGGGTGTGCCTGCAGAGTGGGTTTTGTTGTCTTTTTCTTTTCTTTTTTTTCCGGGGAGAAGGCGGGGGGGGGGGGGGGGGGGGGCAAACACTAGTATTTTGTCAAACTACATAATAGAGAATGTATTTCTTTTCTGCATTTAATGGCCTCAAACATTTCTCCCAACAATCTAAAACTTAGAAATACCCTTAGTTTCAATTTTTCATATCATTTCCATTTTTTCATGTTTTATAATTTTTTTTCCTGTGCTCACATCAGCATTCACTTCCGTTAAATTCGCCAAAGGAAACTGTTGCTATGTTTCTGCTATCATTCCTGTGCGACTTGTTGTACCTCACAGTATTTATTTTTTTTTTCCAAAATTAAGCATCATTCATTGGGGGTTCCGGATTTTTAGTTTTTGAGAATTTCTGAGCAGTACACTCATAGAGATGAGCTAGGTGTTCCTAAAGCCTTATATCTATCTCCTTCTGAAGATGCCATGGGGTCCACTTGGTCCTTCATGTATTCCATCGCGAGGAAAGACCAAAAGCATTTGCAGTATCAAAGAAACTATCACACGCAATGTCTGTTAAGTGACAAATGTTTACGGTAAAAAAGCTGAGGAATTAGTAATAACTGTTCTGTTTCCTTGTACCTTTGATTTCCCCAGAGCTTAGTTGCTTTGTTTGGTGTCGTGTTAAACTGAGCAAGCAGATGTGTCCCTCTCTTTTATACAAGACTCTGTACAGTGTGTCTGTGAAAGACTGAACTAGAATAATGAACATTTGTTTGCGAACCCTCCTTCCTCTTAGCGTTCTCTATCTAGTGCTGTTGTCTGTTACCAACTGCTGGACTCAGAGAGGATTGAAACATTGTTACAGTCTCATCAGAAATTATGGAAACGGTCTTTTAGACTACACCTTGTTTTGTGAACATTGATATGCATTTCTGTTTGAACAACTTTCAATTGTTACACTCTTAGAGATGTGAGAATTCATTTCTACGAAATCTGTGTTTAGCGTGTTTAATCGAATGTCGAGTAAAATGTCTAATGGCTCCCCTCGGTGACTGACCTGGCTGCCAGGAGTCACATCAGCCAGCAACCTAGACTCTGAACAAGCATTTGTCACCGCACACCTGGCTAATGACTACAGCCAACTAGAAAAGGTCCAGAAGGAATGAGGTTCAAGAAGTGGAGTTTCCCTTGCTAGGAAACTTGATGTGCAGAAACGGCCCTAGGACCCGGGCAGCTGGCACTTTTTAAGTATGTCCCTTGTTTGCTCTTGTGCCCAATTGTTATGGTGGCCTTTTCATAACTAAATATTCCAGTATAAAGCCTATTTGCATAAAAGGGACAGGGGAGGTGGGTGGATACAGCCCATGAAATGTAGATTTGTGAGATACACACTTGTGCTCCCCAGGTTCTTGGGCTTGTCTGAGTGCAGTTCTGGCTTCCCCTGAAGATGGTGGCCCCCAGGCTTGCCTGCAAATGGACAGGATAAGGGGATGCACACTTTGGTCAGCCACGCTCTTCATTTCTGCCCAATCCTGCTCGTTTATTCCTTCGTAGGAGTTTTCTGCCCATAAACCGTTTTTAGCTACATCCATCTGTTTCTAGCTGAAAATTAATAGGAACATAGATTTTCATCCAAGTAGCTCTCTTCCATTTGATTGAGTTTTGCCCAAGTTTTATCGCTGGCATATGATTAGGCCATATTAGTTGTGCATGTTCTCCAGCTAATGTTGAAGTATACAATTCTGATCTCTTTAAACTATGTTTTTGTAAATATTTGAAAGGCTGGGTCCACTTTAGGGAATATCTATCTGCATGCTGTGGAGGGGGAGAAAGAGAACAAGGAAAAAGACAGAAGAGTAATCTGGCTTTGAGAGTGCGAGAAAAGATAAAAGAGCCTGGTATTCTTGGTCTACTAGTAATTGTGTTTAAATAAACCAGCTCAGCCTAGCTCATCTTAGCGCAGTCTTAGCGCAGCTGCCCTGGTCAGTCGGATCCTTTCTTAAGGTTCAAATGTGCAGACAGTTTCCTTCTCAATATGACTAACATCTTCTTAGAAACCAGTGTTAGCAGAGCAGTGGCACCGTCCTGGTCATGTGACTCATTTGGTCATGGCTTTCCAGGCCTTTCCAGTTACAGCCCATTAGTGTACACATTGCTCTAAAGAGGAAAGAAAAGGTCCGAATCTATGAAGAATGAGTTGACTTAGAAGCGTGGCCCATTGTACTCAGGAGAAACCTGCTTGCCACCTAATATAATAACATCTCCCCCTCCATTTCCTCTGGGTACTCCATAGATTATACACCGGGCAAGTGGATGAAATGGGGGCTCTTGGCAGTTCAAACACAGACAAGCCAATAATGAGACTGAGATGGACATAGCATACCTGAGCAGTCCTTGATTGAATCGAGTGTGCTGGCATTGGGTTCCGCTGAATAGCAGGAAATAGAATCCGCCTGTCCTAGGATGTGTTGCATCTGCTGTTGTCAAGGAGCACGATGCCTAGCAGAGAGTCTAGCTTCCATCCTGTGGCCATACCGCTCCTTCGAGCTTTTTTAAAATTATGACAAAATTAATTACTTTGGCGTTCCCCAAACTAGAAATATTTAAATGAGTGGATTTTGCTCTTTCCCTCTCAGTCTTTGTTTTTAGGAGGGATCTAAATGAGCAAGGAGGGTAATAAAAGGCAGACGCCAAAAACCATTGGCTGAGAGTGCAGCTCTCCGTAGGAGAGAGGCGTTTAGCAGAGAGCCGGCTCCAGCTCTGGTTTGAGGGTAGCTGGAAAGGAAAACTGTTAATGCGTTGCCAGTGGTTGTCCAGGAGAGAAGTCTTTAAGTCAGTCCTGATGGTGGGTACCAACACATCCTGCAGGATCCTGCAGAGGACCCCGTGACCAGGTGAGTCACGGGGCACATGTCGGGGAGGACTTACAAACATCTTAAGATGTTTATTATAGGTCAGAAGAGCCAGAACACGCAGCCGTGAGTTTTGGGGTTGCTCTTATTTTGGGGGTGAGAAGTGATGGCCAGGTTTCTTTGGAATCACAGAGATGCAAGGAGTCACCTAAATTACAGGCTAGTGATGAAACCTACTTTTTTTTTTTCCTGTTCTGTTTTTTGAGACAGGGTTTTTGTATAACAATCCTGGCTATCCTGGAACTCCACCTTTGTAGACCAGGCTGGCCTCAAACTCCCAGAGGTCTGCCTGCCTCTGCCTCCCAAGTGCTGGGGTTAAAGGTGTGCACTGCTAGCGCCAGCTCGTGCCCAGCATGAAGCCTGCTTCTAATTGCGATGAGTAGAGAGCATGCGAGTGACTCACATTCGCATGCTGCGGCAGCCTAGACTCGCAGGCTCATCACACTGTGTGGCCGATGGTCTTGTGGTCACAATGGAAGCTGAGGCACAGAGGCAGCTGGTTTCTTCTTTAACTCAGAATGTTACATATTATTCTTGCCCCTGTCACTCTTAAAATGTATCTGATATGCCCCGGGCTTGTGCCCAGCCTTCCTGTCATTGCAGAGGCACTCACTATAATGGTATAACGCAGCTCCTGTTAATAGAGCCGGCCAGTAGGTCATCTCCCATGCTCTTGTCCACATGCCCCGCCTTCCTCATGCGGGTTTCCCCACATTTTACACAGACTTATTTTTACGGCCCTTCTACAATAATTAGATGACAGATACTGTCCTTTGGACATTTATTTTTTAAAATTCCAAATGCCTAATAACAGGGCTAAAAAGTCCGACACTTTTACAAGTATACTAAATTGAGTCAGTGTTATTGTTCATTATAATTATATATGTATATAGATGGAGCGTATATTTGAAGCAACACACTATAGTTGTCATAAAGCTATCTTTATTCTTCTCCAAAGTGTTCTTGTAAATTCATTTGACCTTTACTGCAGGAAAAAAAAAATTATATAGGGTTCAGGACAAGGCTCGGTTTGTAACAAATAGCAGACCATTACAAAGAGGAAAGGCAAAAGCCAGGCTGAGCAGCAAGAAGCTTCGGTTCAATTTCACCTCATATCTTTCTAATAACTTGCTTGTCACTTTATTACCTCCCAGTAATGTGGACGCCGCTGACAAGACTGTCACACTAACAGCGGACAACACCCCTTCCCCTTCAGCCCCAGCTCTCCCGGCTGCTCATTGCCCTGGCCCTGAAGGGACGCAGACTAATAGCGAGCTTTCCAGTTCAGCACTTGGCCATCAAATATAAAAGGATGCGTAATTGCCTGTTTATCCCTGGTGAAGGGGAAATTGAGTAGAGGGCCAGGCTTTCCCACCCGTTCCCCGCTGTACACGCTCATTCACAATCAGCCCACCTCCTCCATCTCTCCTGTCTCTTTGTGCCATCTCCCCCCGCCCCACCCCCGCCAGCTTCTAGCCTCCCAACACAGGAAACCGTAGGCTGCTTCGACATGCTCGCCCCAGCTATTAAGTGGACAGTAAAAAGATGATGTCTTACATAAAGGGTCAGCGGAGAGTCACAGTCAGACTGTGCTCTCTTCATCCCATTTGGGGAATGTTGGGTGTGGCCGTGCAATGAAGACCATTTCCCTGCCAATCAGTGGCATGGGTGGGACTAGCTTGTCCGAATTCCACGGGGAAAAGATTAAAACCTTCTTCCTTGTCAAAAAGTGTGTGTGCTGTAAACAAACTGCTTATGGATGGCGGCTGAAAAACAGTTTGGGATGTTTACATCTTTGGCACCAAACTATGGCATTAAATGTACACTTTATCTTTCAATACCACTCTTTAAGTCCGTTAACAAAATGGATTAACGTTTATTTGCCAAACTAAGCTGACAATCAGAATAAAATAAGGCTCCATTTCTTCAACGTTAGCCATTAAAACAATGAAGATCTTACATGTGAAATGTAAATTCTCCATTTCGGGAAATTTGGAGAGGCCGGCGTATAGTGAGCTCTACAAGATCAAAGAGCAAAGGCTTACAGGAAGTACAGTCAAAATGTTGTGTCCCAGAATACCTTGAACCCAAATAACGGGTCATGTTGGTTATTTCTGGATATGAGACTACTTCAAAGGTGGCTTGAAAGGGGCTAACTCGTGATGAAATGAAGCAGGCTGTATTTGCGCCCCTTCTGCCTGGAGCTAAGGGTCATCATGCTTCCTGCCAACTGCCATGGCACCCCCGGCAGAAAGCAGATCGTGCTGCCATGAGCAGTCACAGTTCAGATAAGGTGTTAGTCAACTGAGGTGCCATGTGGAGGCGTCGTCTTTGTAGACTTTTGCAAGGAAAGGAAGACAGCAGATTTCGGAGCAGGTAGCATAAGGTCTATGTTGACAAACTGTGCTAAGTCACTTCTTGAGCTGGTCTAAGGACTGCAAAGAAAAGCACTTTGAGAAAGAACTTTGGGTCTGAGTGAAGACAGTTCGTGCACTTGATGGTTTTTACATTCTCCCGTGTACTTCTAGTAAGCAGTTACCAAACATCTTACTAAAATTGTAATTAAAAACGCAGTTGCCAAAATTGCACAAATTATGCTAGCAAATACTAGCTTTGTCCCCTGGGCTCTAAGTAATGGGGATACACAAGGACATTTTATAGTTGTAATGCTTTATTTAGTTTTCTTTAAAGAACCTTTGAAGGGAAGGAAGAGCAAAAAAAAAAAAGGTATTTTAACAGAAACGCAGAGGAGTAGATAGTATAAAAGTATATTTCTTCAAGATAGAATCTAAGTGCTATACCAAGATTTTTATTAGGTTTCCTGTTGCCAAATGCGATGTTGAACAAATATACTGCTAAGATGGCCAAGGCATCAATTATTAACCGGCTCTGCCCACTTCTGTTATGGAATACAAGGACTGGGAGGAGACTCTGGGGAGACCCCAGGTGTGGGAAAGAGCTCTACTCTGCTGGCCCTGGAAAGGTTTCCAAGAAGGTGAAAACTCCAACTCTCGGGGTGTCCCCCCACCCATCCTGCAAGGTGGACTGACCTGGCACTGTCTCTGTGGGCACTCACTAGCCTGCCTCTTCCTTGCTAGGAGACAAAGCATCCTCCCTTCCTCCTCCTGAATCAGTCTAATAGCTTGTATGGAAGCACTGATTCATGAGGCATGATTGTCTTGAACTCCCAGCCAATGTGCTGAGTTCATAGGTTCACTTGAGATGTATAAACCAAGACTGACTGTTTATTCTTTCAAATCTCATACTCTCCTTCAAGCATTTTTGCATGTCTTTGTACAGAGTTCATTCATTCCTCTCATTGCCTGTCTTAATCTCTGGCTTTCCAACTGTCCTCACTCTTGCCCTTCCCTCTCCTGATGTTACCCACTCCCCTCAAAAACAAATAAATCTTTGCTGGGGCAGGTGGGTAGAACGCACCCTCCCTTGTCCTGGTGTTGATCACTTTGGAGATGTGTGTGTTCTACCCTGCCCAGGTTTACATAACGGGAATTAAGCGAATGAGATGTTGTAGTATTATGTATTAACACGATAGGACTAAGACTTATTGTATGCAGCGCACTCACTTTCCTGTGCACACTTTGGTTCTGCTGCCCCATAGAGGGAGCTACCCTTATTCTGCCAGTGCCAGACTGAGCAGGTGTGGGGGAGAGAGAGCTCAGTGTGGGCCAGGGGGGCAAAGAAGATTGAGAAACTGAGCAAGACTTGGGTCTGTGGGATGTGGAGAGATCCCTCAGTTGGCTAAGAGAACACGAGACTTTTTTTGCCCCCGCTCAAACTCTCTGATGCATCTCTAATTACAAAAACATTAGTCTCAGCTTTTATATTCCATACTCAAAAGCGGATAAAGGGAATTGAAGTATCTTGAGGGAAAGGAACTTTTCTCCAGATATGTCCCTCTCTCGCCTGGAGTTCGGGGACTTGGTCTTTCTTCTTTATATTCTCACTTACCTTGAGGTCTCTTCCACCAAGCCTCTGGCAGAACCAACATCTGCATCAGGAAAGGCAACTGCACCAAGAGATGGGACAGCGTGCATCCCCGACCTAGTAATTGTGATGTCGGTAGCTTCATGAATACTGTATGTATTTTAATCGATGGTTTTGTTTTTGTTTCACGTTGTGGTTTGTTTTTATTAGCAGTCTAAGGTAATTGAAATTGTTTATTTACTATTTCCTTTGTTGTATTTTCTGTACTATAACTGTCTACAATATGTCTTTTGCATAAAATGCATAAGGGTTTGGGGATGTAAATGGAATTTTATTCATATTTTGTCCAAATACCTCTTGTAATTTGTATCAAAATTCTTGTACAATTTTTATATTAAAGATTTATCAGTCACTGAACGCTTCTGGCCTTTTGACTTGAAAAAAAACCTCAAGAAACTCCTAAGTTGTCCTTCGCAGCTTTACCTGTGATGCCCAGTGCCGTTTGTTCCATTTTCCTGTAGCTCGTGGCTAACCTAAAGCCAGTCCCCTGTACAAACTGGAACACGCTGTCATTAGGAGACTTCTAGGGATACCACCCATCTCCTGCTCAGATCCAAAGCTGGATTGGAGGCACAGAAATCTAAGCCAGTCCCAACAGAGCCAGACAGAAGCTGCCCCAGACTTTCCTCACCAAACTCACCGCTTCTATGTCTTCCAGAGAGGCTTTCTCGCAAAAGCCTTTGCTCCGCTCCTTTGGGCAAGGAAGATGAAGGGAAGAGCCTGGTTCTTTGTGCCATAGCTTCCTACACAAGCCTTTCCTCCCCCCCCCCCTGCCTTTAACATGCAGAGCTCAGGAGAGACGACTATATAGTTTCTCATGTTAAACCCTTGCCTTTCGGTTTATATTCTCTTGCCAGGATTTTGTTTTGGTTTGTTTGTTTCTGATTATGTTAAGATCTAGAAATAAAATGATCACAAGGAAAGATGTCATATCAAAGGTATTTCTGTCTCCTCCGAGTTTAATCTTGCCCCACCCTGTTAAGCCAATCATAAGTGAAGCGGCCTATTGGAGACTTTGACCAAGCCCTCCCCTCCAACCAGGTGTTCTCTGCTCTCTGCCCTCAGAGCTGGTTGCTTGCTTCCTGACCCTGTTTCCTCTGGCTTGTAGGCAAGACCATGACCCCCACCCCCACCCCCAAACCTCTGGGCAGGCTGCTTATGGCCAGGCCCAGTAGCTGCCCTAGCTGCGACATCCCTGACCAATGGTCCTTCCCATGGCATGAAGAGTGCCAGCCACCAAGCTTAGGTGGGGGTGTCCTCCCTTGGTTTCCAAGCATTCAGAGACACGTGGGGTGACGGCAAAGAAACAAAAGGTCAAGTGATCTGGGGGAAAGCAGCCACCTCTGAGGCGTGTGGTTATGGATGTCACTGACGTGTTAACGCACTCCTGCAGGGAATCCAGACATAATTAGGATCTCTTCATGTGTCATAACACATCTGTAATTGGCAAAAATTCTCCCTCGCACAGCCCCTTCTCCTTAAGAAAAAAAAAAACATCGTTTTCAATGTTATTAAATGATGAGGCATCTCCTGTTTAGTGAAAAGACACCCGGAAAGACGGGTCCTAGCACAGAGCTGATGAAAACAGCCAGAGTTGTGGCCAGGGGCTGTCCTGAGCCATGGCAGGACTTGCTCCCTGCTGGCTTCCTCTGTGCCCGTTGACAATGTGACAGTAGATTAAGTGCTACTAATTTAATAAAGCCGCTGAGGACAAAGCCGATCTATCGGCGGGACGCGAGAGGACCACAGCGGCGGAGCTGGGGAGGGGCTGCTGAGAATATCGAATTGCCTGAAGTGATACTGACGGGGGAGGGGGCCACAGCTATCGATCCTCAGTAAGGCACAGTTATATTTAGTCACATGATTCGTGGGCACCCAATCATTACCCATATTCATCAGCGATGTATAATGAACAGAGGTATTGATTAGGAGGGGCGCTGAAGAGATTTCCCAACAGTGCTAGTTCACGTTGATAGGTCTCCAATGGGAATACGGGTTACGCAGCCCAGAAACGTAACTTATAGTGCTCTAGGTCCTTCTATTGATTTTATTTGTGCTGGAGGGCAGAGGTGGGAGAGTCAACCTTGCACACAGCAGTGCTTCCTTGACCTTCTTCTGAAGGCTTGCTTGGGAAGAAAAACACAGAGAAAAGCGTGGCTCTGCAACAAGTGCCCGAGCCCGCTCTAAGTTTCCCAGTGCCGTCCGTGCTCATGGTTCTACTTCACCTTTCCTTGGTTACAGAAATGTGCTCAAAACTGTGCCGTGCCAGGCAGAGCTCAGACCCATCCCGCACGTGAAGCCTTCCTCCCCTAAAGATCAACACATGGCCCCAGGAAATGATCAAGTTAGGCTAACTGTACCAAGTTGGCATGGTAGGAACATAATGAGTTCTGGCTTTAGCTTGCTGACCCCAAACCTGCCAATGCCAGCGTATCGCAACTTCACAAGCATTTTCCTGAGCTGCTGTTTGCAAAGGCTATTTGGGTGGCGGTCTGGCCCACGCCCTGAACTTGCACGGGTGTGTTTCATCCTACAAGGCAGTATGCAGTGCATGCGTGTCCTTGCAAAGAACTAGTGGTAACCGGAGCACCATAACCTCAGAAGCCGCGTGCTGCCCAACGGGCAGGCTGCATGCATGCTGCATGCTGCAACTAGAAACCAAGCCCTGGGAAGGAAAGAGTACATGGTTAAGACAAGGACAGCTGTAAAAAATAAACCTCAAATGCATGGTCAGAAACCAGAAATTCACAGTCAGCTACCTGGCATGCCCATGGGCAGTCAGTCATCAGCTCCTGGCCAAGCACCAATGGAGTGCTAAAGCAAGGCCCAGCATCCCTCAGGCACCCAGGCAAGGGGCACGCTTTTCTTCCCCCAGTCTTCCCTTGCTCGGGCCAGGTCTGGTGGTGTTTGTCAGAGTGTCCTCCCCAGCCTTCTCTGATCTCTTACCTTGGCCAGCAGCCCTTCGAGCTCTGGGATGGTCATGTGCCCACCACTTGCAGTCCTGGTTCGGCTCTTCTTGGCGTGGTGCTCACTTCAATCCTTGTTTTCTTCGCTGACACATAAAAGATGCAGTAAATTTTGGTTCTCCGGGTTTAGCCTGTACCTTGATTTCTTTCCTAATGCAAGACCTTGCAGGCACTCTATACAGATGTATATCAAGGTCTCCGGTGATTTCAAGCCCAGCGTTCTGTCTCTTGTGTCACGATGTCGTGTTTTTAGAAGGATCCAAAAATGATTATGAGCAATTGAATTTAGAGGTTATCAGGTTTGGGGGCATGTGCGGGCTGATATGATTTTAAATTATGAGGCCACTTCCAGGTATTTAGAAAGATTCATTTTACAAATGCAAACGCCATTAACAACCCAAAGAAAGCACTCTCGGGTTCTCCCATCCTGGTTCTTCCCAGGGCTCTTCCTTTCAACGTTCCTTATTTCTTTTCCTTAAGTGGAGAATTTCCTCCCAAATGTTCACAAAGTCATTTGCAGCCTGAAAACCAGCCCCTTCTGGATTGTTTTCAGATGTCTTGTCAATTGGTCTTCAGCACAGAGCAATCATACAAGATGTTAAGTTTTTATGCTTTCTGCTCTTTCAAAAACCACAAACCTGTCCTTGAAGACAGGATTTCTCCCAGTACCCTCAGCCTCGGCCCCAGAGCAGGACAGGGGTGGGATGGGGTGGGGTGGGTGGGGGCTTGTGACAAGCTTACAAGCTCAAGGACACAAAACCCTTCAAATTTCTCATTTGTCTTCTGTGAGCTGGATGGGACACAATGTACAGCCTGAGCTGGAACTGCAGCCCCTGTCTTGGTTCGAACCTCTGTCTTTGGTTGGCAGAACCTGCAACTCCTGGGTGTCTACCCATAAATCCACTTGTCAAATTTTGAATAATCAGTAAGAGTAAGTGGGTGGGGCTTGCTGTTGGAACCCTTTGGCATCTTGAGCTGAAGCTTCTTAGGCTCCATGAGGGTTGTGATGGCCTCAGCACAAACATAGTTCAACAGCATCTTCTTCAGGCCTTTCTTAGTCTGTTTCTTGGCTAAAGGTGTGTTCCTCAGGAACTTTGGATGGCCCCCTTAGAAGATTCCTATGTTTGTGATTGTTGCTTCTTCATGCCATTTCTGTGTCACTTGAGGCCTGTTTGTATGCGGCACGTTCCTGGACTTGTCTGCAAAGCAAACACTGCTCCTGAAGCATCCGAAACCAGAAGACACAGCAAGGCTTGGCATCTTATGGCATACTCGATGGGCCAGTTTGTCAGATGTCCTCCTCTTTCTCCTCCCCCACCTACCTTCCTCTTCTTCTTTTCCTAAAATATAACTAAATTTTTTTCTAAAATTATGGCTAAAAATTCATAGTGTAAAAATTACTGTCATGAACATAGTTGAACAATTGCTTTTGTTATAAGATAGGGCATCTCTTGGGTATATTCCCAAGAGTGGTATTACTGGATCTTGGGGTAGGTTGATCCCGAATTTCCTGAGAAATCGCCACACTGATTTCCAAAGTGGTTGCACAAGTCTGCATTCTCACCAGCAATGGATGAGTGTGCCCCTTACTCCACAACCTCTCCAGCAAAGGCTATCACTGGTGTTTTTGATTTTAGCCATTCTGACAGGTGTAAGATGGTATCTCCAAGTTGTTTTAATTTGCATTTCCCTGATCACCAAGGAGGATGAGCATGATCTTAAGTGTCCTTTGGCCATTTGAACTTCTTCTGTTGAGAATTCTCTGTTCATTTCAGTGCCCCATTTTTTAATTGGGTTAATTGGCATTTTAAAGTCTAGTTTCTTGAGTTCTCTATATATTTCGAAGATCAGACCTTTGTCTGTTGCAGGGTTGGTGAAGATCTTCTCCCAGTCAGTGGGTTGCCTTTCTGTCTTAGCAACAGTGTCATTTGCTTTACAGAAGCTTCTCAGTTTCAGGAGGTCCCATTTATTCAATGTTGTCCTTAATGTCTGTGCTGGGGATATGCATAGGAAGTGGTCTCCTGTGCCCATATGTTGTAGAGTATTTCCCACTTTCTCTTCTATCAGGTTCAGTGTGTTCAGCCTGATATTGAGGTCTTTAATCCATTTGGACTTGATTTTTGTGCATGGCGAAAGATATGGATCTATTCTCATTCTTCTACAGGTTGACATCCAGTTGTGCCAGCACCATTTGTTGAAGATGCTTTCTTTCTTCCATTGAATATTTTTAGCTCCTTTATCAAAAATCAGGTGTTTATAGGTTTGTGGAATAAAATCTGGGTCTTCTACTCTATTCCATTGATCGACTTCTCTGCTTTTATGCCAATACCAAGCTGTTTTCAATACTGAAGCTCTGTAATAGAGCATTTGTTCAGCTATGTTCATAGCAGC